TTTGTTCTGGGCTGCTCTGTGTAGCAGAAAAGGTTTTCTTGAATTTCATCATTTACAAATCTTACAAATGCAGTACCATGAAAAATATTTGTGGAACCTTTTTACTCATTAACCTGGACAGAGAAATTACTGTTTTTGTTACTTACATAAAACCTTATTAAACTGAGAGTAGTCTTTTCAGTATTTCATACTGCATCTTGTCCTGGCATTTTCATATTGTCATTATTAGACTTTAACCAACGGGTATGAATTTTTCTATCCTGGGATAAGTTCTGGTACTAAAAGACATGTTTCCGGAATTTTAACTAAACATGAACTTAAAAAAAAAAAGTTTTACTGTTTCAATATTCCAATAGCCATTTAAAATGATCAACATCTTTACTTGTCAAATTACCAGAGCAACTGCTAGAGCTGTAAGTTGCATGCTACAATGTACAATCGAGTAAGACAGTTTGGTTTACAAGTCCACATAAAACCCTTGATAAGTAGCTTTCATTGTAGAGTCTGTGTGTCTCTTGTTGTACCAGTATACTGAAGAAGTTCAGGTAACTGTAATTCTTCATCATTAACCTTATCAGAAATGTCTGTAGGTTGATAGTTAGAATGGTCTTCTACCTCACACCCTGCTTCATAAATTGCAGCATTGGACCATCAGATTTGACAAATGTCAATAAAATATAAAAACAGGCATAACAATTAAATGAGAAAATCACATACACAAAAATAATACAGACATCACAAAACATTTCTACACAGTCCATGTTTTTGCAATGTTTAACAACAAAGTGGCAGAGGACAGCTGAATTGTGGCATGTAAAAATTCCTTCCTCAGAATAAAAATTTCCCTCTGATTTTCTATCACATAGAACTTATCTGTTCCCACAAATCAGCTGAGAACAATCGGGTGCATCGAGGGAGGATGGGGAAGGGAGGTATGAGGGAGAAGCCAAGGTCATCCTCCTCCTAGCCTCCTCTAAGTGCACTACCTTGTTTGCTACTTAGCCAACAGCTTCCCCTGGCTCAACCAAATGGATGTGGGCCAACTGGGAGCTGCCACATGAGGCTGGAAGACCTAAGAATAGTTAACAGGGCTGCTCCATCACTGTCCACTAGTGATTACGAGCCATGTGCAGCACAGTAAGTTCAAACAGAAAATTTTTTTTCCCCAGCAATAATTTTTCATGGAACCCCAGCAACATCTTACAGAACCCCAGTTAGAAACCCACCTTCAATACTAAATGACTTTTTCCCCTATGTGAGGTCATTTTCTCAAGTTGGATTCTCCAGGGACTGGACTAGCAAGTTGAGCTTTAGTGCCTCCTTCATTCCCCATCAGCCTCGGACTTTGGTTTTGTCTGATCCACCTCCTCAGCATTCTCCAGCGCCTCCTGCTGGCTATGTTCTCCTGCTGGGTCACTCTGACTTGCTTTGTCACCAGGCTCCAATTTCGCTTCTTTGCCATTTTTTGCACGTGCTGCCTGCTTTGGGTTAAGCTGTGCCAGGTCCTTGGCATTCTTCACTACCTCCTGGAGATTGTATTTTCTGAACAACATGTAATCTTTCACAACACTCAGGCAACAGACAGCTTTAATGATTTCCACCACCACCGTGTACTGTGGGTTGGTGAGATCCACTTTGTTTTCTGAATTGAGGCTGCCTACGATTCCTGTACCAAAAAGAATTAAGAAAAAACTTAGGCCAAGGATACTATTGTGCTCGATAAATATAATCTTTTATCCCTTTGGGACTTGTTAAAATAATATACATTAGTCCATTCTTCTAAGGTACTCCATTGAACCTTTCAATATAAATAAATACAAATAAAATCCTGAGACATTTGAAAAGAGTAGTTTTCTTTTTAAAAACCAAAATAAAACAAAAAATTCAATCTTGATTTGGAAAATACCTTATCTAACAACCAGAAAAGCTCATACTCAACTTATCAAAATCAGGTTTGTGTGAGGTTAACTGCCAAAGAATTTGGTCTTTGTCTTTGGTTCCTGACAGACATCTCCTAAAACTGTCTAGTCAACTAGTCATTGAAGAATCTTTGATGAGGGTTCCAGAATAAGTTATGCTAATGAGGTGGCAAGGCAGAAAGATCTACTTGGTGATACTGCCACAACCTTAGGGGGAAGGAGGCTGATTCAAACAGTCACGCCTAAGTAACGGGACCCAAATAAAGGCTCTGGACATGGAAGATCCATAGGCTTCCTGGTTAGTATGGCATTGATGCACACAGGAGGGTAGCATGTTCCTTCTGGGATAGACCTTGCCCTATGAATCTCTTCATTGGTATCTTTTTGCTATAATAAAAGTAAGTATAGTGCTTTTCTGAGCTCTGAGTCTTGTCCTAACAAATAAAACCAAAGGGGGTACTAGGACCCAGGAGATCAGAAGTGAGGGTGTCATGGGGAATTCCAAGTTTGCAGATGGCATCTGAAGTCTCTGGCAAACTTGGCAGAATGCAGAATTATACCCTTGACTTGTGAGGGGTGACTTAACACTGAACAATTAGGGTCAGAGGAAGAAATGCTGCATGTGCAGCTGGTGTCAGAAGAGACTGAGAATAAACTGATTTGGACTGATCAAGACATCGCATGTCAAAGAAGTGGGATTTGATTTCGTCAGAAGTTGGACATTATTTTAAGGACATTTTAATATACTTGTTCCACACTCAAAATCACAAGCCTTATTTCTTTTTTTAAAAATATTAGAAACAAGTATTTAATATTGGGCCTATGTGGTATCTACTAAGAGAAACAAACCTGCCAATTCTTTGATAACTTCGTCTCTATTCATGTGACTATTATTTCGAGATTTATACACAATCTGAAATGTCCCTTTATTTGGTGCTTTAAACCAAGGTTCCAAAAATGTTTCTGCATATTTTTTCATATCCTCTAAGAAAGCCTTGCATGTGCCAGAAACGGGCAGCATACGTAGGATAACCCGAGTCTTCTTCTTCTTGGTTGTATACATATCCTGGAGAATATGATGCACCAATTTCTCAGGTTCTGAAAGAGAAAGAGAAAGTTAGCTTAGAGCAAGCCAAGTAGGTTAAGAACTTAAGTTCTCAGACATTTTAGAGATTATTCAAACTATCTAAAGGAAACTGGCATTCACATACATTGATGCTAGTAGGTATTTTCACAATCAAATTTGAGTCTTCCCAGTCATTTTTTCCAACTATTATTTATTTAGTGTCTACTGTATTTAATATTTAACTCTTCAGTTCTATTACTGCTTTAACTAAAAACAATTGTTCATAAAGACAGTGGGGTTAACGTTTTGGTGAAATCCTGATTTATCTAACTGCAATAGCACTTTGTTGTTTTCATATAAGAATGGCAACTATCAGTAACAAACCTTAAATAAATAGTACACTTTCTTATAAAAACAAAATGAAAATCTATAGGTCACTTAAAAAGGTTTTATTAAACCATTAGCTAAGTTAGCACAAAAGCTTCGGTCCCCGACCTGGGAAGAACAGAAGCCCCAGAACCTTGAAGTGTACAAGACTATGAAGCAGGAGCCACATCCTGTCTACAGTACAAGTCTGTTTGGGGCCTGCTCAGTGTTTTCAGTATTTTTAAATTTGTTGACTACATTTAAAAACCAAGAAACCTATCCAGATTAAAACCACCCCCCACCCGCGGAAAGTCAGAAGATCTGGCCCTACCAGGACTATACTATCCAACTGGCCGGAGTTGAATAGCAGCTGCCCCACTTAGGACACACACACTCTCATTCTGCCTGAAGTTACTACAGAAGAAGTGGCCAAGCGAATGCCACACCCACTACAGCATCCCACCTCTCCATCTGCCTAGTGCTAACACGATGGAAGCAAACGAACCATGGCCAAAAGCCATGTTCTAGGTAGCATGCAGTGAGACAGGGAAATGTGCAGATATCATAGGATGAACAATCTTAAAGAGTGTAAGTCAGACACACCTATCCCAAATGTTCTGATGAAGACTACATTATTCGCTCCACTCTCCATGGACTGGAATCTTCTTAGCCTCATCTCTGTAGAGGCCCTAATGTCATCAACTTCTTTCTTCAAGGCAGCCTCCACATCATCGTCTTCCCCCTCATTTCCAGAGGACTGCTGATTCTTGTCTGTAAACTGTTTGTGTATAAATAATGAACAGACATGCCACAACAGCGCATGTTTAAAAACTATAATTAAGTACTTATGTGAAACCTTCAGTGGCAGATGGCTCAATATTGACAGTTTTTACCGAGACTAAGAAATCACTTCCTCCAAAATGCAAAGGAAGAAGGGTGTTCCCTCAGACTGTGGTACATATCAATTGAAAATGTTTTCAGAAGTATCTTGAGTGTGGGATAGAGGGAAATGTGCTCACCAGAGGAATCATTTCAGAGTGGACCTGAAAACCATCATCAGATATGGGCCTAATGGGTCAGAATACACTCCTTTTGGTAAGATGGCACCAAATACTTACAGAATTCAAAATCTTTATTCCTGTTCTTCTAAGGAACAAGGCACAGAAATAGTTCAAAAACTTGCTCAAGGCAACAGTATACAAAGCACATGAGTTGCTGCCCAGTTCTCTGCCCTACCAATGGGATTGCCAATTGGCACTAATAATAATTGCACACATTTATGATCCTTTATTATGTATCAGAAAGTATCTTATGTGCATAAGAAACTATTTAGCTTGAAGATAACCTCAGGAAATACATTATTTTTCATTTTTTTTTAAAAAAAAAAAACTCTAGCTCAGTAGTTAAGTAACTTGTTAATTCCCAAAATTAGCAAATCACAGAGCATGAACGTTAATCAGCTCTGTGCTGTCTTCTTCCATTTAATGTCATGTGTGTAGTGATACTGCCTCAGAAACCCAAGAAGGGGTTGCTATGAGTCGGAGCCGACTCGATGGCAGTGAGTTCGGTTTGGTTTTGTTATGTGTGTACTGGTCCAAGACAAAACCAGTAAGATTTCCAAAGTGTGATGGGACAATTAGAGTTTAGGTGGTATTAATACAACAGTAGGAGGCTGGGTGGCACAAGTGAACTGCGATCACTGCTAACCTAAAGGCTGGTGGTTTGAACCCACCCAGTGCTACCACAAAAGGCTGTTGCTGTTTGCCATCTAGTCAATTTCAATTCATGGCAAGGCCAATGTCTGCAGCATAGAACTGCTCCCTACAATTTTTAAGGCTGTGACCTTTCAGAAGCAGATCACCAGGCCTAGCTCGCAAGGGGCCTCTGGGTGGGTTCAAACTACCAACCTTTCTGCTACTAATCCGGCGTTTGACCATTTGTGCCACCCACCAAGTACTCAGATGATAAGATATGGTGAATATGAATGAAGCCTGCCCTTGTGAACTCCTCTGCATACCTCACCAGATTCTTGTGAGTGTTAAATGTTTTACTTTTGAAGAGCTTTAGCACAACACCTGGCCCTCAGGAAGCAATTAAACAAGACCTTTACAACCTATCTGCACCCACCAGGAGCTATGGTGATGCTGTGGTTAAAGCACTGGGATCCGAACCAAAAGGTCAGTGGTTCCAACCCACCAGCTGCTCCGACAGAGAACGATGAGGCAATCTACTTCTGTAAAGATTTACAGCCCTGGAAACCCTATAGGGCAGTTCTACACTGTCCATTTGGCGCCTATGAGTTGGAATCAACCGGATGGCAATGAGTTTAGTTCATCTGAAGCCACCAGCCACTTTGAGGAGAAAAGACCTGGCGCTCTGCTTTCAGAAAGATACAGCCTAGGAAATCCTATCTACCCTGTCATATAGGATCGCTTTTATTGGAACAGACTGAGAAGCACACAACAAAAATATCGTGGAATAATGGAAAGAAATCCCAGAATCCAAGCATTAACACCATGCAGATGTTAAAAAGTCTCCTTTGGGCAGTCAAAAAGAATTCTGGTTAAAGTGGTTAAAGCAAACCAAACAGGTGGGTGGTTATAACCCACCACCCACTCCGCGGAAGAAAGAGGAGGAGGTCGGCTTCCGTAAAGATTTACAGCCTTAGAAACCCAACAGGGGTCGCTGTGAGTCAAAATCGACTCGATAGGAGAGAGTTTGGTTTTTGGGGGCGGGGTGGTCAAGGACTCCTGAGGTCGTGAGAACTTCGCGAGGGTTGGAACTGAGAGACCAGCCGAGGGCGGAGTCTGGAATAGAGGTAGCGGGAGGAGGCCAAAACAGCCCAGGTCCGGCTCTCCCGCCACTACTCCCACAAAATGCGCGCACACGGATAAAGGAAACCGGCTAGGCAGCCTTCCCTCCTCCCTCAAATATCCGTAGGCCCGCCCGCCCCGGGGCTGGTACCTTTTCCGGCCCATACATGTCGTCACCGTACTCATTGAGCAGGCTGTAGGCTTCCTCCACGCATTTGCGCTCGTTCATGTTGCAAGTGATGAGTATGCCCTGTAGTCCAGGCTCCAGCTGCCGGGGCCCACCGGTGTCGCAGCGCCGAGCCCGCTTAGCCTGCACGTACAGAGCCTTGTTTTTACGCTTCCCGCCGGCAGGCTGAGGAGGCTGCTGGACGGTGTCCGCCATTGAGTGTTAGAGCTGAGGACCAAGAAAACTCTCTCTCCACAGCTATCGGCGTCCTCGCCTCTGCTGACGCCAATTGATTACGTCATGTCTGCGCGACGGCCTCGCTAGCCCCGCCCTCCAATCTCTTTCCAGACCCTGCTTCGCGATGTTCTAAAGCGAGTAGTTTTACCTGTGGCGATAGGACACGCTCCTCGCTCTTGCTCGGCCTCTCGCGAGGATTGACAAGCGTTTGCTTCCGCCTGGCCAAGGAAAGGAATGATTTCCAGTTTTGTGTAAAAGGATCTCTGGTGTGGTGTGAGCTCTGGTGGCATGATGCCTAAGGCGTTTGAGTGCTAACTAGAAGGGTGGCAGTTCAACTCCACCAGCCTCTTCCCTGAAGGAAGACAGGGCAGTCTACTTCCATAGAGATACTGTCTCTGAAACACCAGGGGTTGCTGTACGTTGGATTCGACTAGATGGCACTGAGTTTGGTTTTTTGGTTTTTGGTGGTGCAGTGCCTGAGGCATTTGACTGCTAACCAGAAGACTGGCGGTTCACCAGCCACTCCTGGAAGGAATATGGAGCAATCTACTACTACCCAAGGAGGGGCCTCCCTCAGTCTGAAATCACTGGAGGGCGGTGAATTAGTTAAATAAGGACCTGGACTCCCAACAAGATAGCGACCATGTTTGCAAAGAGCTGTAGCATTTATCTATATACGTATTTATTGATTCATTCAGTTAATATTTACTGTGCACCTATGTACTAGTTGGTTTCTGAAGTGAGGCCTGAGTGGAACGAGATACTGGTCCCACTCACATTGCCTTTATAAGCCCACATTTCTTAAAAGGCAGTGGGCCTTCCAAGCCAATCTGTATTTTTTTGCTCCAATTGAAGTACGTGTCTTCACTAGATTTTTCTCTAGTGCCCCTGTTGCAGGACCCCAAGGGAACAAAGAAAAATAGTACTAAGTGAAATTAGAGAGGTTTGGCTATCGGATGAGACACATTAATAAACAGGGAAATATAACTTAACATTCAGTTGTCCTAAAGGCAACAGTCTAGATTTTAAATTACAAAACAAATTTCTATTAAGACACAGGAGTCCTCACTTTTGTACAAAATCAGGAGGAGCCAAAAAAAAAGGGGGGGCTTATCCTTTATTGCATTTGGATGAATTACCTAATCCAGCAGCCCAAGAATGTAGATGGATTGTAGTTGAAATTAGGAAGAAGGAACCTCTTACTTACCGTGAAGCCTGCCGGCATCTCTCAGATTCCTATTCTTGTGGTCTCCATGAAAAAGTAATGCTGATACGCAATAATAGCTTGGAAATCCAAACCAAAAAGCCAAACCCACTTCTGTCCAGGTGGTAAATCTTTACGGAAATAGATTAACCAGTCTTGTTTCCTCAGAGTGGCTGGTGGGTTGGAACCATGGTAATCCCATACATACAAAAGAATTTGCCTTAAGAATGAGGAAAGAATATTCATCTTCTTTCCTCCAATTAAATGTACTTACTTCCTATTTCTTTCTCCCTACCTGTCCCAAAATTGCATAAGAAAAACCAGTCATTTTATCTGGATAAACAATCCTTTAAGAGTTGATAACACAATACTCCACATACCATAAAATCAGGAACCTATGCCCTTATATGTCACACAATTAGAAGCCAACTTAAAACTTTGAACTCCCTGTGTTGGGGCTTTCACAGTGTATTGGTCTTGCTGGATGAACATGTGAATGGATAATGTGCATTTTATCAACCTAGTTGGGAGCTCTGGTAGCATAGTGGCTAAGGCACTTGATTGCTAACCAGAAGGCTGGTGGTTCAAACCCACCAGCCACTCCCCGGAAGGAAGGTTGGGCAATCCTACTTCCGTAGTGATACTGCCTCGGAAACCCAAGGAGGGGTCACTATGAGTCAGGGCTGACTCGACGGCACATAACAACAACAACAACAAGTTATTTCTATCTCCCATTCTGAGATTTGTTAGGTATAAAACAACAAAATGTTAAGAGGAAGAAAAGTAAAATATTATCCTGATGCTGAATTGCAAGGAACTCTGGTGGTGTAGTGCCCAAGGCATTTGACTGCTAACCAGAAGGCTGGCAGTTCAAGCCCACCCACCACTCCTTGAAAGGACAACTGGGCAGTCTACTTCCTTAGTGATACCTCCTCAGAAACCCAAGGAAAGGTCACTATGAGTTGCAACCAACTCGACAGCAGTGAGTTTGGTTGTTTTTTTGTTTGTTTGTTTGTTTGTTTTTGCCTGAAATACATGGTTAACTGTTTTCTTAGAAAACAAAAATTCATTATATGTGATTACATAAGAGAGAGAGTGTGTGTTCCTGGGTGGGTCAAACAGTTAAGTGCTTGTCTGCTAACTGAAAGATTGGAGGTTCAATTTCACCTAGAGGTGCCTTGGAAGAAAGACCTGGCAGTCTGCTTCCCCAAAGTCAGCTGTTAAAAGCCCTGTAGAGGGTAGTTTTACTCTTAAACACATGGGATCACAATGGGTAAGAATTGACTTGATGGCAAGTTTGGGTTTGGTTATTTTCATGCCTTTATTATAGATGATTTCCTCTGTATCTTCAGGGAATAGATCTCTTGCCACTGAATCTTGGTCTTCTCCTGACTGGAGCCCCAGTAACAGCTACCTTCAGAGTTGGTACCATGTATGATTAAGAGTCTAGATTCCGGAGTCACACCTAGGTTTGTATTCTGGTTCTGCCACATCCTGGCTGTGGGACTGTGAGCAAATTACCTAATCTGAGTTTCCATTTTCTCATTAGCTTAAAAAAAAGAAAGAAAAAATTAATGGAGATAATAATAATACATGATGAGTTACTGGGAAAATTAAGTAAGATCAGTCATGACACATACTTAGCTCATGGTCACTGCTCAATCAATGTAGGCTTCAAAACAACTAGTTTGGAATTCAAGTGTGATTTACTCACTGAATCTTAGTTTTTTTGGTGTTAGTATCCCTTGCACACCAGCCACTCCTCGGAAGGAAGATGGAGCAATCTACTTCTGTAGTGATACTGCCTCGGAAACCCAAGGAGGGGTCGCTATGAGTCAGGTCCGACTCGACGGCACATAACAACAACAACAATATTCCTTCCACAACCCGCAATCCTTACACTTCATCATTTGTCTCCCAATCTTTTATTTCATTGGTTCTTTATATGTGTAACTGATTAAACCAAAACGAAACCAAATCCACTGCTGTCAAGTCAATTCTGACTCATAGCAACCCTAGGACAGGGTGGAACTTCCCCATAGGGTTTCCAAGGCTGTACATCTTTAAGGGAGCAGACCGCCTCATCTTTCTCCCTCAGCAACTGTTGGATTTGAACTGCTGGTCTTTTAGTTAGCAGCCAAATGCTTTAATCACTGTACCACCAGAATCCTTACTGACTTACTAAAAACTGAGTTTAATTCTTTTAGGAAGAAGGCTAAAAAGGAGATTCAATTTTTAAATAATGATGTATTTTAAAGTTAAATAAAATGAGATAGGTAACATACCCTTACCTCTGCTAACTGGTTCATGCCTTGCATTTTATTAAATGGAACCCACAGTCTTTCACTGCCTCTGTAGCCTTGCCCAACAGCACTCATGTCACACTTGCACACACAACTATGTAAGAAACACTGTATTGCACACACAGGTTATCTCAAAATTATAACCAGCCATAAGACTGCTAGAAGGAGGATATCCTAGTGATATCAACTACTCCTTGGGTGTCATATCGATCTAGTCTGACTGAGTTGCACACACGAGACACTCACAAAGTATTGGCAAATGAAAGCCGTTCAATTGCTCACAGAAAGCAGGAAACAGTTCTATGGCGAGCTGGTCCTCTTTGCCTCAAAAGCTGTCTGGTGGAGAAGGAGACTCTTCTCCATGTGCCCCCACTTTGCACCATAGATGACGGACTAGGAAATCCCTCCTTCAGCCAGTTTTATACTGACAGGGCTACATCTCAATGCATGGAGTGTAGTGTAGATCTTCCTGCCTGGTCTCCTGAAGATGAGGTGATTAGACATTTGGGTGCCAAGTGGAATTTCATCACTTTAGCTTTGCTGTTTCTCAGGCTTTAGGAGTGGAGGGTTGATGGGACTTTGATTTGTTCCTGAGACCTAAAAATGCTAGCAGGGGGTGAGGAACAGGGAGGAACTGTAGCTGTTTGGGCTAGCCAAAGGTCAGCTGCCTCTAACATCTCCAACAGCCTGATTGTTCAGGTTGGAACCTTACCTTGAACCAATGTGAACTTGGAGCTATCTCTGGAGAAGCCACATTTGGCCTGGCTCTTGTGCTCCTACATGCATCTTCACTTAGCCTAAAGATGCCCTGAACTCCTGATCCCAGCTTCTCCCAATTTGCCAGAGTCACTTTTGACAGGTATGCTTCTCTAAGTGAGGAGCCTAGACATCTACACTCATGAATCTCTAAAGAGGTGCCCCCATACACCAATTGGGGGGTGTCAGAGAAGGCCAAGTATAAAGCAGGTTGGTTTTGGCTTCCCAACTCCACCACCATTAATAAGGAAATCCACCTAAGTGTCAGCAAAGGCTGAGTGTGGAACCCTGACTTCTATAATTATTTAATAATAATGATGTTGTGCCATCTTTCTCTTGCCAAAGCATTGTAAAAAAAAAAAAAAAAAAAAAAGGGTTTAAATAAAATCTAGAATTTCAAAGTGTAATATAAAAATGTCCAGGTTTCAATCAAACATCACTTGTTATTTCTTAATTTCCATATTCTGTGGGATCACCTAACTTTGAAATGGGTAAAAATGGAGATCTCTTCCAGTCAGTTGGCCAGGTAGTTGTCTTCCAAATCTCTTGGCATAACTTAGTGAGTGCCACCAGTGGGGCATCTGTTTGTTGAAATATCTCAATCGGTATTCTGTCAATTCCAGGAGCCTTGTTCTTCACTAATTCTTTCATTGCAGTTTTGACTTCCTCCTTCAGTACCATTGGTTCTAGATCACATGCCATTTCCTGAAATGGAT